AGTGTAAGCCTCAACTGAGGCAGGCTTTAAACAAAAAGCCTTACAAAGCCTTATGACTTGTGAGTCCCAGCCTTCCGACACTTTGGAACCCAAGGCTCGCTTTCACGAGCTTCTCTCCTACGGCCTCCGGGACCGGGCTCGCGGTGGCGTTTTTGAGTTTGGGGGCTGTTCAGGGCTTTCAGGGTTTTTGGTAGGGTTTCTGGGGGCTTTAGGGCTTTCGTTATCTTTTTTTTTGTTGGGGGGGGGGGGNNCTAGCCCCTGCCAGCCTCAGGGGCTGGTGGGAGGCTGGCAGGGGCTTAGGAAGGCGGTCCAGGGTTCTCTTGGAGAGCGGGGCGAAGGCTTCTCGCGCGGAATCGCTTTGCGCCCTCTCGGCAGCTCAAACTGGGCGGGCCGCTGACTGCGCTTCGACAGAAGATGCATCGGTGCCCCGCTTCCCAGGTTCTCCCCCGACCCGACTCCGGCCCGTAGGAGTGCGTGGCTCGAAGAAACGTGCCTTCAGCACGCCCTGAGCTCAGTGAGAGACTCTTTCAGGCTAGGGCAGAGAGTTCTTGGCTCCGGCGAATCTTGCGATAGCAGAGCGGCTCTCAGCATACGTGTTGCTTGCGTGAGACCGGGCGGCCAAGGCGAGATCGTTCGAACAACTTCGCCCATGATGGCGGCTTCGCATGCGTTGTTCGCCAGCTGTTCCATTTATACTTGGAAGTTAGCCGGGGAGGCTGCCAAGGAGAGCTCCTGCATATCATGTCGGTGCTTTAGAGTGTGGCAAAGCTTCGGTCAGGCTCCTTCCCTGCATCTGAGGTGGGCTTCAGCTTGAGCCAGGAGGTGGCACAACACGAGCGTGGCTTTATCGACGAGGCTTTGCCTCAAAACACACCCCGTTCTTGTCCTCGGTGAAGGCTTGCCTTGCATGTTGAGTGGAGTTTATTTGGATTGGGTTTCGACAGTGCTTTGCGATTCGGGGCCTTCAAGCAGGGCGCTTGTCTTACCCTCTCGCAGTGCATCTTCCCTGAAGACCCTGGTCATAACGGCACCGTCGCCACCCGACGTGTCCGAAGCCGCGAAAGTGTTTTTCGTCAACCCCGTGACGCCGAGCCCTAAACCCCCAAACCCAAAATCCCCAAACCCCTATTGCCCTAAACCTGAGAATCTCAAATCCCCAAATGCCGACGCCCCAACACCACACACAAAAGAAGATCGAGCCGTCGTGAAGGTGCTGTCTCTGTGCGAGTTCCTACCCGGGGGCAGCGAGGACTTGCTGGTGGTCCTCGGGGCCAAGGTCAGGAGGGCCCTAAACCCTANNAACCCTAAACAGGGTTGTGACCCCGAGGATTGATGCCCAGGCGTCTGAATCCATGTCCTTGCAGGCTTCGGCTCCCGGCTCGCCGGTGATAAGCTCCGCCTGCGCTGCACAGGTGATGCTGGCCGAGTTTCGATCTGGGCGAACACAGCGCCGCTCCTTGTCGCGAATGAGCTGTTGCCGCGCTGCCATGCACTTCATGAGATAGGCACCTCAAGCGATGCTAAGAGAGCCAAAAGCATGCAAGCTTTAATCTATGAATAGTGAATCTATTCCTGAATGAAGCGATATTGAGCTCTGTTGAAGTTGAAGTCGCAAGTTTTTGCATCCCATAGCTCTCTCGACGATGCCGGCCTGCAACCAAGACTTGCCTCGCTTCTGAATGTTCTGACATGCCTCGTTGTAGGTGCCGACACTGGTGCCTTCCACGTTATAGTCACGTCGTAGCTATTATGGTAAAAGAACGACTAGTATAGTCTAATAGTAGTGCAGTAAACCAATGTGGTATGGCAGTAACTATTGCAGTATGATAGTAGCTATCGTAGTATAGCTTACAGCCAAGGAATCGACGTCGCCATCAGGGATGTCGGCCCCCTTCCTGCATTTTTTTGTTTTACCTTTCCGTCCTTTCGCTTCGAAGCGCAATTCGAAGTCGTCCGAAAAGGGGAGAGCCAGTCTACAAGGCTCTGTGAGACTCTCGAAACCCCGAACCCGAGACCCCTAAACCCTAAACCCTCCAGCTTCTCTGCCTCCAGGTGCCTGGTTGCAGCGAGTATCCTCTCAGTGCACAGTGTGCGATGTCTTCAGCTGGGTGCCTTGGCCACGAGCCCGCGGCTGGGGCCTTTATGCTAAAGCTGCCCTGAAGTCAAGATTTTCGGTGGCTGGGTTTAAAGTGTAAATTGAAAGACTGGTAGAATTCTTGTTCAGGCGCGCTGAGGTTTCCTTTAGTCTCTGAGCCCCAGGCACTTTCGGGCCTCACTCGTGCCGCTACTGTTGAAGGAGAAGAGATGCATCGAATCTACATAATTAACCAGGCTCGGGGTTGTGCACGCCTAAACCCAGCTCTAAACCCACAGTGCTAAGCCCTTCCTTTTCAGCCCAGGTGGAGACTTGGAAGAAGGAGCGTGGCTCGCGCAACCCCTGCCTGCCTTTTTTTTTTGGAGGGATGAGGGCCTAAAACCCTAAACCCTAAACCACAATTAGGGTACAGACAAAGCCTCCAGCAAGGCCCGGCTTCAACCAGGGACGTCTCACCACTCACGAACCCTAAAGCGGCCTTTTTGGGTCCGTCGGCTCCGAAAGGCCACCGAGGAAGAGAGGAATCTTCCTCACTTCGGAACAAGAGCCGTCTACCTGCGCCCTACCACTTGAGGTGAATATGAAGGCCGCTTATTTTCTAAAACTGCCATGGTTGTGAAGAAGCAGCGCGCCAAAACATCAGGATCTGTATAAAAACGAGTTCCTACACGACACCTCAAGCAGGAACCTTTGAAGAGTCTTGGGGCAACCCAAAACCTTGGACACCTAAACCCAAACCACTAAACCCTAA